AAGTGTAGAAAAAAAGCATCTCTAAAAGAAAATCTGAAATACCCCACCACCCAAATTCATCTTAGGGAGAAGGAGGAGAAACAGAGGGGATTTCATGGGGCACCACGTTTGTTCTAGGAGGCTGTCTGTTCACATTATGCTGGGAAGGGAGTGTGTGAACTTGCGTCCAGCCGTGTCCAAATCTACTCTTTGCAAACAAGACAGCACTCAGAATTCTAGTTATCATCACACCTCCAAGGCAGAAAAGGTACTGAAACATTTAAGAAAAATAAGAATTTTCCTGCAATGCAGGAGACCCGAGTTCCAGAAGATCCTCTGGAGAAGAGAATGGCAACCCACTCCAATATTCTTGCCTGGGAAATCCCATGGACAGAGGAGCCTGGTGGGCTACTGTTCATGGGGTCACAAAGAGTTGGACATGACTGAACAACTTTCATGTAATACTCACACACTAATATTATTCATGTTTCTTAGATCATGTTTCTTGGGAAAAAGTTAAGGGTCAGAACCCTAGAGACAGATGACTTGTTGCAAATTCTAGTGGAGTCTTTCTGTTCCACGACCTTGGGTAAAGTAACTGACCTCTCTAAGCCTCTGTTTCCTCGGCTGTAAAACAGAGGTGGTAAGTAGCACCTACCCCTTCTCTGGTGGGCCAGTGGCTAAGACTCCCTATGCAGGGGACCCAGGTACAATCCTTGGTCTGGGAACTAGATCCCATGCAGCTAAGAGTTTGCATGCCAAAACTAAAAGAACCGTTGTGTTGCAGCTAAGACTTTCTTTGCACAGCCAAATAAATAAATAAATATTAAAAAAAAAAAAAAGACTGTGGTAAGGGTTAAGTGAGTCATTCCACAAGAAAATTCAGGACTTATATTGGCACATACTAAATAGCCAATAAATATTAACACTTACCATGGTTTGATTATTTCCACCAGGAGTCAGAGTCTCGGGTCCTGCCTGGGACATGCCAGTTTGCTTTGCAAAGACATACTTCTGCCCTGTAGCTAAAATTTCTGCTTCTCACCTCAGCTAACACCTTTAAATGCATGTTTCTAAGGGCCTCAGCAAGAGGGTGAGGATGAGTCAGCTACCAAACCTCAAATTAAATCAGGGGCAGCTTCTCCATATTTAAAAAGTAGCATTTGTACTATGAAATAATATGGATTCTTAAGGAAGAACCATGCCAGGATCATTCCAAACAGACTTCAATAAAGATTTGTCAAGCGGAGACGCAACATACATCACCATTCAAAATCCCCAAAGTCACACTTTGGGTTTCCCTGTTGGCTTAGTGGTAAAGAATCCGCCTGCCAATGCAGGAGACAGGGGTTCGATCCGTGATCTGGGAAGATCCCACGTGCCACAGAGCAACTAAGCCACAACTGTAGAGATCAGGCTTCACAAGCACTGAAGCTCACACAGCCTAGAGCCAGGGCTCCATAATAAGAGAAGCCACTGCAATGAGAAGCCTGCACACCCCAACTAGAGAGTGGAGAGTAAACCCCATTCGCTGCAACTGGAGAAAAGCCCACACAGCAACGGAGACCCAGCATGGCCAAAGATAAGGAACTAAAAACAAACAAACAAAAATTATTTTTAAGTCACCCTTTGCTGAAACTTCAAATTGCTAAGGACAAGATTGATACTATCTTTTTAAAAATAGAAATCCCAGGGAAAAAAATGAACAACAACAAAACAAACAAAAAAAAACACCTTACAAAGGAAAACCCAGCTCCTTCTCTACCTGTTCATAGCTGTCCAGGCTTGCTTAACATTGAAGTACTGTTTAAGAAAAAAAAAGCCAAATCAGGTTTCATGAACTAGTCTTCGTGGTTTATAAAAAGGCAATCATTCAGTTTATCAAACAGTGAGCAGCCGGACTTCCAATTTTAAATGTTGTTCCTCTGAATAATTATCATTAACATGGAAGGAAAAATTGAGACAAATCCTGAACTTTTTCTGGGCTACCTTGCCCTTGTTTGCTGGCAGTGAGGCTCTATTTAATACCTTCAGCATTTGCTCTTGCCTTGAAGCAATAGACAAGTATGTGCTGCTCTGTTCTAAATATGGGAACAGCTAGTACAAACAGAAGATTGAAGATTGCTTTGAAGCTGATGTTGCCAGTGCAGAGCCTTCCCCAAATGCTGGGAGCGGGCAGCCGGGCCCTGCAGAGGGAGAGCTCCCTGCTTTTAACTGTAACATATTAATTCCAGGTGGTGTCTGGTTAGAACGAAGGTCAAGAATCTGATTTTGACCTCAGTGCTCACTGGAATCTCATGGGAATCCTGAGAGTGGCTGAATAAGTGATATAATATAACTAATAATGATGATAATGTCCCAAGTTTCTTGTGTGAGTGCTTTCTATGTCCCACACAGATGCTGGGAAAGACTGAAGGCAAAAGGAAAGGGAGGGCCAGAGGTTAAGATGGTTAGATAGCTTCACCGACTCAATGGATATGAATTTGAGCAAACTCCGGGAGATAGTGGAGTACAGAGGAGACTGGCGTGCTGCAGTCCATGGGGTCGCAGAGAGACAGACACGGCTTAGAGACTGAACAACAACAATCTCTCAAAGGTTTCAAATCACTTCACAGACCAATTGTTTCACCTCCTGTTGGTCTGTAACCGACTCAGGCATAGAATACTGCCCCATTGTCGAAAAGACAGGGACACTAAGCCTGTTCAAGCATGAAGAAAGATACCCACTGAACATTAAAGTGTAAATTTTAGGTAGGCAGTTTATAATTATCCACTGTAAGTCAGGCCAAGAAATGACGTTTAATACTCTTCTTTTGTGAAAAGCACCCTGGCAGCTTTCCTGACCATAAACAGACCTCAAATCTTCATCTCCTCTAACTTCAGTTTTCTCAGCCTCCGCACTATTGACCTCTGGAACTGGATCATTTTCTGTTGTGGAGTGAAGTGGCGTCGGGCACTGTAGGGGTTTAGCAGTATCCCTGGCCTCTGTCCACTGGATGCCAGTAACACATACACACACACAGTTGTGACAACTATGTCTCCATGCACGCACATACAGTCACTCAGTCATGTCCGACTCCTTGCAACTCTTTGGACTGTAGCACGCCAGGCTCCTCTGTCCATGGGATTCTCCAGGAAAGAATACTGGAATGGGTTGCCATGCCCTCCTCCAGGGAATCTTCTTGACCCATGGATCGAACCCAAGTTTCCTGTGTCTCCAGCATCACAGGGGGATTCTTTACCAGCTGAGCCATCGTAGAAGTCAGACATTGCCAAATATCTCCGGGGATGAAATCACCCTCAGTTAAGAACCACACTGCTCTAAGTCAATACATTTGCAAGGGAGGTTAGAAGCTCCTGAATTACCAGGACCTTCCATTCCCACAGACTGCTTGAAGGATTCCTCGTGGAAGAGAGACTCTCACTTGCTTTTAGGATTCAGAGAAACTTGAATTATGAAACAGGACTTTGATTATGAAAGAGGGACTTGAAATTAGGTCTCCCATACCCCCTCCAAATTAAAGAAAAATACACAACCCTAGACTATCAAATGCACCCTCCCCTGAATAGCAGGGGACCTCTTCCTGGCATGTGATTTCCCCCAAAGGGCTGTGTGTTGTAGGTTATAACAGGATAGTGCTCCAACGTCCAGACCTCCACAGCTCCCACCCAGCTCTCAAACTTCCTAGGATCACAGATCCCCTCCCTCCTGGAATCCACAGTCTCTGTCAAGTTGCAGAACTGCTCCTGCATCCAATCACCTGAAGACACTGTGATAACACCAGCCCCCTCTCTGACCAAGACCCCTGGCTGGGGCTCCTCATATAACCCCATGGCACCCACAAAACCTCCTGGGACCTAAGCTCCAGGAGGGCTCCCTCACCACCTGGTCTGCATGCCCTCCAAACCCCAGACAGTGGGGACCTCAAACCTTCTCATTGTATTGGGTTGGCCAAAGAGTTCATTGGGTTAGGGATTCTATTGTTCCCTAAATAATAAATGCCTTTCCTTTTTACTTAAAACCAAATGGTTTTTTTGGCCAACCCAAGAGTCTGTATCATGAACCCCCTCCCAGCTCATGTCTACAAAAATATATTTCATATTTCTTAAACTTTCTATCTTGAACTAATTTTAAACTTACAGAAAAGTTGCGAAAATAGTTCAGATTCCCATATATCCCTTGCTATGATCTGAATGCTGTGCTCCCACTCCCGCCCCCACCACCAATTTCACATGTTGAAACCCTCTGCGCAATGTGATGGTATTAGGAGGTGAGGCTTTAGGAGGTGATCAGGTCATGAGGGTGGGGACCTCATGAATGAAATTAGTACCTTAGAAAAGACCCTGATGCTGGGCGGGATTGGAGGCACGAGGAGAAGGGGATGACAGAGGATGAGATGGCTGGATGTCATCACCGACTCGATGAACATGAGTTTGAGTAAACTCCAGGAGTTGGTGATGGACAGGGAGGCCTGGCGTGCTGCGATTCATGGGGTCGCAAAAAGTCAGACACGACTGAGCGACTGAACTGAACTGAACTGAACTGAAAAGAGACTGGAGAGCTCCCTGGCCCCCAAGACACAGCAAAAAGGCAGCATCTGTGAACCAGGAGGCAGGCTATCACCAGACACACAATCTGTCAGCACCATGATTTTGGATTTCCAACCTCCAGAATGGTCAGAAATACATGTCTGTTGTTTACAAGCCAGCCAGAAAAGACTGGCTCCCCCTGGAAAAGATCCTCACCCAGCTTCTCCAAGTGTTAACATCTAATCGAACCACACTGCAATTGTCAAAACTGTCACCTGCAAAGCCCACTGGGGTCCTGGGGGAAAGTAAGATGGAATCTACATAATAAGGCCTAACCTCTTCTTTTATGTTTGATATAGTTTCACTTGCCTGTGTCTGGCCATTTGCAGAGGGCTTGCACCTGAAGAGTTGCACAAGGGTTCCTAGTGAAGGCTGGCTGCTGTCAGACACCTCTGCTCCTGGCCACGTGCAGAAGCACCCTGAAAGCTACCATGATTCAAGACAGTGGAGGTGGCCTTGGGCAGAGGCTACAGGACACAGCACACATGTGCAAATTCCCCCAACCCCAACCACCTCCCCCCGGCACCCTGCTGCTGCTGCTAAGTCACTTCAGTCGTGTCCGACTCTGTGCGACCCCACAGACGGCAGCCCACCAGGCTCCTCCGTCCCTGGGATTCTCCAGGCAAGTTGGAGTGGGTTGCCATTTCCTTCTCCAATGTGTGAAAGTGAAAAGTGAAAATGAAGTCGCTCAGTCGTGTCCGACTCTTAGTGACCTGATGGACTGCAGCCTACCAGGCTCCTCCATCCATGTGATTTTCCAGGCAAGAGTACTGGAGTGAAGTGCCATTGCCTTCTCCCCCACCCCTCCTAGAGACCCTATAAAGCAGTCCCACTCTATAAAGAAGCCCCACCCCATGGCCTGCCTGCAGAGTACATCCTCTAGAGCCCAAGTTCCCACCTCCCCATCCCCTGATCAAAGGATAAAACTCCTTGGCTTCTTCTTCCTTTTTTTTTAAATACCAATACCAATTTTTATTTCAACAAAGTTAATTCTCAACAATGTGATACTGAGGGGGCGGGGTTTCCTCCTTGGCTTCTGAGATGAACTTGGTGTTCTATTGACTGGAATGACCCAGTCAGGACCCTTGGGCTAGGAGGACTCTTTGTGTGGATGGAGTTGGGAAACAGTAGGTAACAAAACCAGGAAATTAACATCTGTGCAATACTGTTGACTAAACCAAAGATCCTGGTGGCTCAAACAGTTAAAAAATCCACCTGCAATGCAGGAGACCCAGGTTCCATCCCTGGATGGGAAAGATACCCTGGAGAAGGAAGTGGCAACCCATTCCAGTAGTCTCCAGTAGTCCTGGAGAATTCCATGGACAGAGGAGCCTGCTGGCTACAGTGTACAGGGTCTGGAAGAGTTGGATACGACTGAGCGAATAACACAATAAGAAGTCCCCAGTTTTTCACTAATGTCCCTTTTTCTGTTCCGGGATCCTATGAAGGATTCCACTTGGCATTTAGTTGTTTCTCCTCAGTCCCGTGAGTCTGTGACAGCATCTCCACCTTCTCTTGACTTTTAAGATCTTAAGGCATTTAAATAGTATGGATGAGTTTTTTGTCAAATGTCCCTCAATTTTGGTTTCTCTGATGTTTATTCAGGTTGCCTTGAGTTTATACATTTTTGGCAAGAATGACACAGGAATGATGTTGTGCTCCCACCCCAAAAAACATAAATTTCAAACAGAAATTCCACGGAACTATATCTTTGCCACGTTAAATACATGCTGAGATTTTTCTGTTACTGTTTGAAATGCTGGTTTCACAACCATATTGCTTCACAGCCATCTAATGGGTCAGAAAACACTGCCCTAGGCCAGCTTATGTTTGAGGCCTTCTCCCCCTCCTGCCAGTTCTTTCTTAAATTTCTTTCCTCTCTGAGACTCAGTGGCACTGCACTGACCAGGTTTTCATTCTTAGTCTCTGAAGAGCTCCTCCCTGTAAATTTTGGCCTTTTTGCCCCACCCCCACCCCGTGTTCTACATGGTGGTGATGGGTGTAAACAATGCAAATGTTCTATCTGATGATACCTCACTAGACATATTTTCTCCGTGAGTGGACCCACTCCTTCCATTCTGGCTCCACACAGGTGACCCCACCTCTGCTCTCCCACCCAGACTCTGCCTTCCTGCTGCCTCTAGGAATTCCCAGGTGGGTGCCCTGCCCTCCTTTCAACAAGACCAACATAACATTTATTCAGGGCTCTACCCTGAGGATCAGAGGGTCCTCACCAACTGCGTTGCCTTTCCTCCATCCTATGCCTGTCAGCATTACACCCCTATTCCTCCTGTCTTATTTTGGCCACAAGCCTGGCTTTCACAGTCTAGCAACTGGGAATGCCACCAGGCTGGTTCCTTTACTATCCATGTTCTAATCAGGGCATTCTCCATTTAGAGAACACCACAGTCACCTAGGGGGCTTGTTAAAAACTGATAGCTGGGGCCCACCCCCCAGAGACTGTAATTTGGGATGTCTAGGGTGGGGCCCTCAGACTGGCGTTCCTAGCGAGTTCCCAGGAGAGGGTGATGCCCCTGATCTTACCACCCCAGACAGTAATTCCAGACTCCTGAGCACTTCTGGGACCCGGCGGCAGGCACTATTCCACCTCCCCAACCCGGCCAGGAGGGGCTCATAGTAAATCAGGGTTTCCTCGTCATGGAGGGCCCAGGCCATCCCCTTGCCTTCCAAGGACTCCCGTCTCCCCTACTCCACGGGGATTCGCTCCAGATCACCAGTCCCCAAGGCTTTGTTCTTCTCCAGCCTGCCTGCAGCTGTTTCTCCTAGTGCTTGCTGGTAGGAAAGGGGTGATTACAACTGCAAGGTTATTAGTCCTGCGTCTGCCAACTAGACATGCTCAGGAAGTCCCAGGCTCATAAGAAGCTGTTTTTACTCTGTGCTCACCACTCTTTGCACGCTTCTTTTCACTCTGATTTCTAGTACCTTCCGTCTTCACCTTGCACACCCTCCCAAACATGCTCAGGCACATGCGCGCGCGCACACGCGCACACACAGGTACAAGCACTAGTTTACGGCTTTGCCTGCAACTCTTTGCCCAAGAGCCATCTGGTGAGCCTCCGTGAACTTGAAAGAAACCGAGTGAGACCTCGCCCTGTCTTTCAGGGACTCGCTGAGTGAGGACAGCGGCTCTCGGGTTCTCTGGGCCCAGCCGTCGGTGCGGGGTGCAGGGTGGGGGGCCCTGGGTGGCGCGAGTTTGGGGGGGGAAGGGGGCAGGCAGGGGGTACCCCCGGGCCGCCCTCCACGGGCACACACGTCTTTTAAAATCTTCCGGAAGAGATCACGCCGAGCCCTTGGAAGTGGGACCAAGGACAGGATCGCAAAGGACAGGAGCGTCGGGGACCCGCCCCCTCCCCGCCGGCCGGCGTTGGGAGGGTGGAGGCCGCAGTGCCGCGCCCGGCCGGCAGGGGTCTCTGTCCCGAGCCCGCTGTGAACTCGCCAAATGGAGGCTCCCGGGGCGGAGCGAGCGCGCCCTCGGCGCTTCCGTCCTCACCTTTGAGACACTTGATGGCCGCACGGGTCCGGCGGGAGCGGGGCGAGGGGCGGGGGTGTGTGTGGGATGGTGGTGGTGCAGTGACCTTGTCACGTGGGGGAGGACGTGCCTTCCTTGCCTCCCGACCTGCCGGCTCGGGTTCCCGGGCTCTACGGGCCTGACGAGCGAGGCCCTGTGACAACCCAAGGCCGGGGGTCTGCACAGGACCGTGAGCCTGGCAAGCTGCATCCCGGGTCTCTCCTCATCTTCCCAGAGAGTGGCCGGGGCCGGGCCGCTGCCCTGACATCTGTGCCCTTCAGGGAAGTTCTGTTTCCTAACCTGCCTCTTGTGAAAGAGGTCCATTTGTTGGGTAATGACCGCGGCCGAGGAGGCGCAGGTCGGGCCAGGAGCGATCACTTTATTCCTTCATCTAACAAGTGCTCGTTGGTCATCTCCGCGTGCCAGGCACAGTGTCCTGAGTGAGCAAGGACTCAGACCGTGTCTTCACTACTCGGAAAGCCAAAGAACTGAGTTTTCAGGAAACCAGATGGGCTTCTGGTGCCTATTACTTTAAGCATCCGGACCACATGGAGGAAGAAATTCCACCCTAGAATCAAAGTGCGCAGTCTGTGCCACCGTTAGAAGCCGGTTAGTGCAGGCTTGCGTTAACCTTTCGGACCTTTCACTTCATCTAATAGTAAAAACACAAGTAACACCTCGACTGACAGCTGACTTAGGGGCTGGGCCATGCTAGGTGCTGGGGATATAATGGTAAATAAGATGTGTCCTTGCCTGCAACCCACGACACAGCAGCGGGTGGGTAAAGCATAAACAAGAAATGGCCAGCTTGCCTCCTGGTCCAGCGGTTAAGAATCTGCCTTGCAATGCAGGGCACACATGGTCCATCCCTGGTCAGGGAAGATCCCCCATGTCATGGAGCAACTAAGTGCTCTTGCAACAATATAGACCCAGCACAGCTAAAAATAATTTAAAATAAATAATTGAAATTAAAAAAAATTCAGTGTGGCTGGGACCCTGGTCCACTGGTTACATGGATGCTACTGATTTATTACATAAGCACAAGAGGACCCAGAAGAGAGAGGCATTGCTGGGTGAGTCAGACCCATAGACCAACCCCAATGATGTGGAGTCCCACAGGAAAGCCACCATCTGGCTGATACCCAGGGACACATCAGTTGTCTTGTATCCCAGGACCAAGTAACAAGAGCATCCTAATTCCTGATCCTAGGTTTGCTCTGGCTTCATTCAACTCGTTTCCCTTCATTCATTCCCTGGGAAGTTCCTAAGAAACTATAGTGTTCAGCAACCACATACTTGGCTTCCCTTCTCATGAAACTCATGAAGCTGGCTGATGGAGGAAGAGAAAGAAGGTTCACTATTTCTTTTTTTTAGCTGCATCCTGCAGTCTGTGGGATCTTAGCTCCCCCACCAGGGATTGAACCCAGGCCCTCAGCATTAAGAGCTGTGGAGTCCTAACCACTGGACCATCAGGGAATTCTCAAGGTTCATTCTTTATATAGCTTTTATATGGCTCAGTTTTGGCTGTTTTCCTGTGCTGAAATTATCTTTGGGCTCTCTTGTTCGCCTTTTGAGATATGTTTTAAAAATCCAGACTTCCAGGAAAGACTCTCTTTTTCTACATATTAGGTTAACAGAACACTAGCTGTGGGGTTCCAACCTCCAACGTTTCTAGGCAGCAGCAATCTCATCACATAGCCAGAGAAACAGTCACAAATTCCCATGACACACTCTCAGGCCGTATCTCTGCTCTTGGCCTGCTGCAGGGCTGTGGGAGGAGAGGCAGTGCTCCGGAGATCAGCCGGGAGTCACTTGGAATCCCTCCACACTGATATTTTGTGCCTTCTCCCCTTGAGTGAGAAACACAGAGTCCTCTACAAACACTGTTATGTGTTTTTTTGTTTGTTTGATTTTATAAAAATACACAGACCTCTATGTTCCGTGTTCTCTGAGCACTGTGTTAATATTCAACATTTAGTGCTGTAAAAAAAGGAAAACTTTGGCTCGTTAGAGGAGCATACCAGAGTCTTGTTTACTCTTTTGTCTGTCTGTTCATACCAGGATAATAATTCCTGACTACCTAAAGTGCCTGAGCAGTTACAAAGGGATTATTCATTTCCTCTCTCAGCTGTCGAGTGCTAAAATCATTCTCCTTAAAACAGATGCCATGACTTATCTAGAAAGATACTCGGGAAGCAACATTTATGATTATTTACAAGGGTGGTAAGCACAGCGGACACGTGAATAAGA